TAACCAAAATCAAAGTAGACTATCACTCACCCACACCAGATGGAAAACTCTACAGACTGTCGGTTCACACCCCATCGCAAGCCAGCAAAACATCCACGAAACAAAGAAAGGTCTGTCACAGCCAAAAAATACACTCCAGACACGCCGCTATATATATATCGTCAAATATATATATATCACAGCCCCTCGTTTGTTGTCCTCTTCTCCCTCTCTGCCTACGGTTTACCGGACAGTTCTATTTGACGATATATATATATCGTCACAATATATATATATATATATATATGATGATATATATATATATATAGATCCAGGACACCCAAGCATAACTGCTATATGAAATATCATTACGCATCTACGACACACACACCAGGGAGCCGCAGTGGGGATGTCCTGCTCATGCATCTGAGAGAGCCTGTAATTGGTGGGCTTGGCGCTGGAACAACCTTTCGGAAATAATTGTTGGTCTGCGCCGCTCTTACTCTCCGCATTAAAGTTGAGGTCTTGGAAAAAGTTAAGAATTGCTTGGTTTTCTGCCTTTCATAGACTTCATTAGGAGATCCTGATATTCCTTTTGGTTTACATTGCTTTTTTCTGAGCTTCAAGGAGTTATTTGGAGGAACGATAGTCAGTTGACAGAAGAAGGGGATGCTGGACCCGGTTTCCAGCCTAGCTGAAGCTGGGTAATGGCCCCAGTATTTGTTCCGGGCGGATTGTGAGGTTGCCCGGCCTCTGTTCAACGCATTAATAAAATTTCAAGTTTCCTCAAAAAAGAAAAAAAAAAAAAAAAAAAAAAGAAATAATGTGCGATTCGCGGAAGTACTGGGTATTGAATCTATTGAAGGATTTGTGCCACAGTCCTTGTCAATTTCTACAGGCTGGGGGTTGGTGGTTATCTGGCGTAGGTTTGCTGTTCTGTTTTTGTGTCTATGATTGTGTCTGCATGTGGCCGGGAAATGAGGAACAGTGCAGTCTTTGACAGAACTGAAGGGCATGTCAAATCAGGAAATTAAAACACTGACTCGCACCAGGGTCAGGGAGACCGATTCGGTAGAGAGGACCAGCAGCTGGGCAAGAGCAGAAAGGGGTTTCAACTTTCAAGTTGCTGAATTGGTTTCCGAAAACACGGGGAAGACTGTGGCAGTTGGGCTGTAGCAGGTGGAAGGGAGTATAGCAGGCTATGGGGGTAGAGCGGACCAGCGTTGTATTCGAAATTTAGGGATATTTGAATGGAACGCATATGCGTTGTATTCGAAATTTAGGATACTTGAATAGAACGCATATGTGTTGTATTCGAAATTTAGGGCTCTTCGAATAAAACGCACGTGTGTTGTATTCAAATAGAACGCACCCTATGTGTTGTATTCGCTTACAACGCATATGTGTTATGTTTGGGGGAAGAAGGTAGCGCAGTTGCAATGGCAGTAGACAGGACAGGCAGCAGGGGAGGGGATCTCAGAGTGAAGGTAGTCAGAGAGTGGTATTTTGGCTGTGGGGTGCAGATGCGCGAGTCACTGCGCTGTATGCCGCCTGTGTCCTGCAGGCTACCGCTCCAACCCAGTGTTGCCCTAGCCTAAGGGTAGCTTAGGGGCTCGCCGCGCCGCACCACTCGTCAACGCCAACATTTGGAATGCATCAGGACGGCTAAGGAGCCCAGATGCATTCAAAAGGAGCCCAGATGCATTCGAAATGTTGGTGTTTGGCAAGTGGTGCAGCCAGCCCCTTAAGTCGTTGTGGAGCTCTGGGCTATGCAGAACATCCATGTTGCAGCATAAAAAAAACAAAAAAAACAAAGTTGCACTGGGCCCTTTATTTCGCCTGTCGTGGGAGGGAAGGGGGGGGGACAATGGAACATGGGGGGGGATCAATTGTTTTTGCCATGCCCCTCAAAGATTTTTTTTTTTTTTTTTTTTTTTTCCCCCTAGCAGTATCCACTGATCCGCAGAAATATTTTTTTCCTCATGTCACTTTGATCACGTTTGATGTCATTGAGAGCGTTTTTTTTTTTTTTTTTTTTTTTTTTTTCCAACATCCGTCAGTAGTCCTGCAGGCTGCAGGGGGTGATAAGAGCATCCCCTGCTGGTAGCACTTGGACAGATTGTCAAGCTGCAACATCCCTCAGGCACCTTCAGAAATCCTACCTTCTTCACCCGAATAGAACACCCAGTCATTATAGCTGTACTCGTTGTAACTTTCGGTCTACGTACAGCTATAATGACGGGGCGGTCTATTCGGGTGAAGAGGGTAGTCCCCGTGCCAACATGATGAAAGCTTCGTTGGTCTGCACACGTGTTACTTCGCACAAGTCCGCAGAGCCTACCTGTTAAATTATTTTTTTTATCTGCTCTGTTGTCAGTTTCAGGCTCAAAATCCTCACAGAATCCTTTTTATCTTTGCAGGATCCTCTCTGACAAGAGATGTCTGAAGAGAAGCACAGCACATATATAGCTTTACGAAAAAAACTCCGCTGCTTTTTTTTTTTTTTTTTTTTTTTTTAAACGAAACCCACGTAGCATTCCATTTTAACTTATGAATCGAGGGCGGGGTCCTCACGACCTTCGTTCTCAGATTGATCTTAGCCGAAGCCAGCTTAGCCAGGTAATGGCCCTGGTATTTCAAATGAGACTTGTATAATTCTATATAGGATGCTGGGCCCGGTTCCC